TGACTGGAGAGTTAAAAGAATAGCTAAAGAAAATATTTAAATATTTCACAGTATAGGCTACACTGACACGTTGTTTGTCCCATGTTGAGCAGCTACAGAATCTCTCCAAGCGATGGTGTTGCTCTCATTAACCAATGCCAGCCTTTTCTCCTCTAATGCCTCCAGCCGTTAACTAATCTGTTTATATGTGCTCTCACAAACCTGACTAATGGGCAGCCTTCAATCCCCACCAAACAGGTCATTAGTGTGTGTGGGTTTTGTGTGGAGCATCGAGGCGGTTGGTAGATGTTATTGTCACTTTAGAGTCAATGATGGTGGTTGCTTGGAATATGCACTTCAAAGTGTACAATAATGAATGTAAATAAGTAATTGTATGGGTGTGTGTGTGTGTGTGTGTGTGTGTGTGTGTGTGTGTGTGTGTGTGTGTGTGTGTGTGTGTGTGTGTGTGTGTGTGTGTGTGTGTGTGTGTGTGTGTGTGTGTGCGTACGTGTGTAAAGGAATACATTAATTGGAGCTGAATCTGCCAGTGTGTTTGTTTGCTTAACAAAAAGGACTCAATAAACGGTCAGTTAATTACCATGATGACTCATCCCTCTGTGCCACAGTGCATTAGACAGAAAGACAGGCAGACAGACAGACAGACAGACAGACAGACAGACAGACAGACAGACAGACAGACAGACAGACAGACAGACAGACAGACAGACAGACAGACAGACAGACAGACAGACCAGACAGACAGACAGACAGACAGACAGACTGACAGACCAGACAGACAGACAGACAGACAGACAGACAGACCAGACAGACAGACAGACAGACAGACAGACAGACAGACCAGACAGACAGACAGACAGACAGACAGACCAGACAGACAGACAGACAGAGACAGACAGACAGACAGACAGACAGACAGACAGACAGACAGACAGACAGACAGACAGATCTGTGTTTTTGTACACTGATAACAGGTTATATAAATACCTCTCTTTTCTGCTGTTTCCTCAAGGGCAGCCTTGAGGGTTACATAAAGTGATGTATTAGATTTCTGAGAAATACTGTACATACACAAACAAACCATAGCTTCCAGTAAATCTTACACAACTTGGTCAGTAAGTGAAAAGACCCTTTACAGACTCAATATGTACGAAGCAAAGGGAAAAACAGATGGGATTGTAAACATATGTTTGTTGGAAGTCATGTAACATAAGGAAGTGTTGCTTGAAGCTAATATAAGTATTTGATTATGATGGTATAATGATGTAATGGCGCAAATAAAGATGAAATGATAGTTATTACAATGAACATTAGATTACAATTAATGATAATGAAGATAAATTATTTTTTGCACACGGTTCAAATTATATGAAATCACCCATTAAATGGCCTCTGGTGTCATTAGTAATTATTTTGGGAGCAAGGGAGAAATGTATGTGATGTAGTGCAGTGATTCTCAACTGGTGGGTCGCGACCCAAAAGTGGGTCGCGGATCCGTTTCGAATGTGAGTTTTTTTTTAATTTTTTTTTTTTTTAACTTTTATTTTGAAGGCCTGTGAAAAACAAACAATGGCAGAAAATATTATTAATATGTCGAGTAGTAATAGATGTATTTATTTTCTTCTCAGAGTGTCCCAGAATGCGAAGTTTATATGTTAGTATTTCTAAAAATCTCCTGGGGGAGAATCCCCCCAGACCCTCCTTCTGGGGTTAGGTTTTCAGCATGTGTGCCTTTTTATGTTATATAGTTCAGCTTTGATTCCATCATCTCATTAAACCTTTTTAAAAGCATACTTTGGTTCTGTGAAGGGATATAAGGGATATATCCACTGTACTTCACTTTAATTAATATTGTATGCTGAAAAGCGTATATATATATTACAGCACTATTTTTTGTTGAATAGATTTGAGTGGTTCAAAATGGTGGGTCGCGATTTATTGACAAAGTAAAAAGTGGGTCCCGAGGCCTAACCAGTTGAGAACCACTGATGTAGTGTACAGTACATGCCGATGAAATCCGCACAGGTTGAACAGGAGGGTAAGATTGACAGGCCAAACTAAAATAGTTGAGTTATTTTTTATTTTTTGACAACACATCACGGATGTTATCTCCTTATCTCAAGTATCACACTTATCTTAAGGCAACACGAACCAAACATGACTGAGTTAATCCTAAATAAACTGCAGCCTTTGAGCACATTCTGGTGCGGTGTAGTTTGCCCCCTTTGAAGTATTGCAGTAATATAACAGAGCCTCTTCATTACATTCCTGTCATTTCATTATCTGAAACGACCCTCAGAAATCCTCCTACACCTGCCTGCTAACCCACTCATCATCGCAGACTCATCTCACTTTCCCCCTTGCTCCTCTTCCTCATATCTCAACTCAACCTTATTTCATCCCTCTCCCCACCACCTTCCTTCGTTCCTGTCTGACTCTTGTCTCACCTCTTCTTCCCATCTATCCCTCCAGCCATCTATCATACCCTCCTCCCCTCCTGCGGTGTCACTTTGAAAACTTTCATCTGCTCATTCCATCTCCTCCCTCTGCAGATTGATCTTTAGTCGGCTCACAATCTAATTTGTGGTTCAGAGACCGGGAGCCATAAAACTGGTGCTAAGAATTATTATTATTCATATATCGACATATTTGATATGACACTCAATCAGAATGCTGTTGAATAATGATGCCATCGGATATGACTTCAAAAAAAATCTTCTACGAATAGCTGGTGCAACCCAGATCAGATGTAATATGTTCTCTTTGAATACCCCTGCGTCTCTAATTCACCAAATATCCAGCCCATTACAGCTTTTTTGGTCATTTAAAGCGATTCCTCTTTTTTATGAGCAGCATAAAAGAAGCCGGGAATTTGCAGTAAGTGATGTTGGTAATGAGAGGCGATAATAAGTACAGAAATATCTAATTTGGTACGTGTACTCTCCCAGAAGCTCCTTAATTAGGACAAATCTCCCTCTTCTACACACACACACACACACACACACACACACACACACACACACACACACACACACACACACACACACACACACACACACACACACACACACACACACACACACACATTAAAGGCCGTTTCTGTATTCTAAGCAGACACACTGAGTGATTGGATTTCTGCAGCAGCATCAGATTGACTTGACCTCACAGGGACAGATGTTAGGATCTAGACAGGTTACATATTGATGTACATAAGGGCACAAATATGTGTGTGCACGTGTGTGTGTTTACAGATTGTATTGAGGATGTGAAGGGTCAGGATCTGGATCACAGAAGTGTCTCTTTGATGAGATCCCTCCGGTCTCAGTGCTTACTGCTGTACTGGGCGTCATTAGCTCTACAAATGGCATTTCATGCAGATTGCACTCACTAACTTAGTCACTGTTCAGGACAATACGACTTTACATAATAGCATCATCTAAATGGCTTGATCGTGATTGGTACGCCTGACGAAATGAGGAATAGGGGGACAGTAGCGATTCTGCATATTGCACTGTTTTCTTTGTATTGCTTTAAGATGACGGCAGAGGTTTAAAATAGAAAGCTTTCTCAGAGGGCGTCCTCCCAGGTCAGATCCACGGAGGAAGGGCAGAGTGACATAACATGCCCCGTCTCTAGAGGCTTCAGCAGCAAACACATGATGAAACTCAGAGAAGACTAAAGCAAAGAGTGGGAGAAGAGGCAGTACAAAGACAGAGGCTACCAAAGATGCTTTTTTCTTAGTCTAATCTGTATTTTTAGGAAAGGAAAAAAGAAGCAATCATGCTGAGCCAGCGGTCCTTCCTCACTGAACCACTCAGCCGATATTAAATTCAGACACGATGACTTCATCCTCCCGCACTTAGCAACTCAGCACTTATTGCATCATCAGACTTGGACAAAGGCCCAGTGATGTCATCTCTCAGGATGCTGAGGTCAGGACACCAATTCATGATCAGACTATGTTTTGAGCTATGATAATATTAAAACAGGATTTTACCTCAGAACAACCTTATGAGTGGTTTCTGGGAAATGTAGTTGTTGGATGGGTGTGACGTCATGTTAAAGAAATCTGAGCCTGGCTATTACATGAACCCTTAAAGAGATACAAAGTGTCTATTTGCAACACACACACACTCATACACCTACGTGCTTGTGAAATAAATACTTCAAAGTCTTTATTTTTCAGAACTTGCCATATTTTATAGTAAGGTACATACATTTGCATTTCAGCTGTCTTTGTGCTCACAGTAAGGGGGACAAAACACCTACAGTAAACATTATGTGGCTTACATCTCAGTAGAGCGTACACACATGCACACACACACTTGCACTCGCACACACACACATACACACTTGCACTCGCACACACACACATACACACACACTTGCACTCGCACACACATGCACGCACGCACACACACACACACACACACACAAACACACACACACACACACACACACACACACACACACACAGCCAACTGTCCCCAGTGCACTCAGTCTGTTCTAGTCTTTTCTGGAACCACCTAATTTAGGCTGTCTTGTCCTCAATAAGTAATTATATATGAAATACCACTTGTACTTACAAAACATGTCCAACAAATCAACCATAAGAGTACAAAACAAGAACATAAATAAAAACAATCTACATCTTTATGAAGAAAACATTGTCGTTATAAAATAAACTTTTTGTTTAAAGAAGAAGAAGAAGAAGAAGAAGAAGAAGAAGAAGAAGAAGAAGAAGAAGAGTAATTGCAACATTTAAGACATTCTGCACTGCACACTGTTACCTTGACAATTGATTGTTGCCATGGAGATAATGTTGCATGTTACCAGGTGATTTTCCGTGACAGTCTTTGGGTTCGTTTAGAGCTACGGGGTTCCCTTTGTCATGCCCCGCCCTCCCCGCCGAACCCCGATAACTTCAAAGATAAGTGAATGATTGATTGAATGATGACATCACTTCAAATGACCCCCTACCACCCCAACAACATCAAAGCCCCTCCCCCTGTTTCCCACCCGCCCTCACTGAAAGTCCAATGTGTTTCATCCTCAATCCATCCCTTTCGTGGTTGGACCAGATCAGATACCTTCTAATCCTCCGACAAACCATGCCATTTGGCGATCTGGCGGCGCGGGTGGTCGCAGATCTCCCTCCAGTGCTCGCCAGACGTGCCCGCCACCGATGTGCCCAGCACCACCCGCCCCAGGACGGTGTTGGGGCAGCGGGAGGTGCCCATGTCTGAGTCCATCAGCAGCAGCTCCACGCTGGTGTCCCTCAAACCCTCTTCGGAGGGCAGATCAAAGACAAAGAGCTCGTTGAAGACCGGATTGGGGGAGCACTTCTTCACGTGGGTCTTCTTCTTACACACGCGCTTCTTGCCCTGGTACATGTTCACCTTGACGTACGGATCTAGAGAAGGAGAATGATCAAAGTAAGGTTGAAAGCAACAAAAAAGGGCTTGGTGACTATCCCTGCAGCGGTTGCAGAGGGGCATATTATTCCTGAGCCCGATCAATACGGCGATCGATGGAGCGGAAATGATGGATGTTGGTGATGAGGACAAAAGAGGCTGGCTGTGTAAACACTCGGTGTGTGTGTGTGTGTGTGTGTGTGTGTGTGTGTGTGTGTGTGTGTGTGTGTGTGTGTGTGTGTGTGTGTGTGTGTGTGTGTGTGTGTGTGTGTGTGTGTGTGTGTGTGTGTGTGTGTGTGTGTGTGTGTGTGTGTGTGTGTGTGTGTGTGTGCGTGTGCTTGTCACTAAAGTGCTCTCTATCACATCCTGATCAGATTACTTCAGTGCGGTGGCGGTGTCAAATTGGAAACTATCACTGCATCCAAAGTAGTCTGGGCTGCTTGGCAGGAAGAGGAAAGCGATTTCATTTGATCCGCTCATGGTTATGTGAAGGAGGTTGAAGCACACATGCATTTTGTGGATCGCATTTTATACGTTTCTCTACATGTGTTTGTACCTGTAGGTCCATTGGTTTCAGTCTTGGGCAGGTGGCGAGCCTTGAGGACGACCACGGTCAGAGTGTTGGTGGTGGACTGGTAGCACAGGGAGAGAAGCAGCTCCCCTCGACCTGAGGACTTCTGTGGAGAGACAGGGGGGGGGGGGTTAATAAATGGCATCACCCTGTATGTGCATCTTTCTTTCCTTCAAGTTTAACAAGGGACAAATATCAGAAGATTGCATACTAGTAACGGATTATATGATGTACCTATTAGTAAATCTATGTAATAATCCTATACGTTACTTGTCAAATAATTAGCTAATATCAATAATGACGTGGTGAAACCATCCGCTGCAAATTGTGTCAGTGCCCCCAGATTAAATGTCTGTCGACTAAATAACAACCCCTGAATCGAGTGTGTTCTCATGTCACAACTTGCAAAAAGGTGTGACTGAGAAGCTCCCTGTTCTGCCCTACACTTGTGACACACACACACACACACACACACACCGTGTCTGTGTCCACTCCCAGGGGAGTTGGCGCCTCGGATGCTGTGATCACACCTAACGCGATGTCAAGCCTCGGCTCATGGTTCCCATGGCAATGAGATGTAGTACGCAGATAAAAGACAACTTCCACCGCTAAAATAATGTTTAAGTCTCTGAAAGTGTGTCGCAGATTTATTTGTATACAGTTCCTCTATGGACATTGTAGATTTATTAGACGAGAAAAAAAATATATAAACTGTATTCTATTATTTGTATTATTCTCTATGGGGACAAAAGGGCGATGGCTACACTGCTTAAGACGTGCTGTATCGATTATCTGAACCGCTGTATGCTTGCATGCATACACACACACACACACACACACACACACACACACACACACACACACACACACACACACACACACACACACACACACACACACACACACACACACACACACACACAAAGCACTGATGCAAAATCTATGCCACACAGACAAAGAGCCACCACCCTGTTAGCAAAGGGCTGCTTCTAATCAGAGAGAACAAAAGTAGACGGCTCTTACATGTCACCATGGACATATTTAATACTGGATACAATATTTCTGAACTATTCTGTGTTATTCTTAGTTTTTTGGGCACTCAAAAATGTTGTGGCTATTTCTAATGCACTAAACAAAGTTCCAGTATGCTGTCTTTATATAAAGAAACATTCCAGCTGAAAAACAGGAAACAACTACGGTTGAAGCCTTTTTTCTCTTTTCACTTGTCAAAATAAAACATCCAGAAGAGCACTGCAAAACATATGCTGAATTGGAAAACACATTTTCTTTGGATTGCACTAAAAAGCGTTCAGGCACAGCAGACCCCTCCCTGCAGCAGAGCTTTGTTAGACACGACTCTCCTGGGAGCCAAATGAGAAATGGATCTGAAAAAGAAATGCGCCTCAGCTTGGAGAGAGCCAGCAGAACACAGTTTAAGAAATATAATCCACTTGATGATGAAATTGCACATGGGAGCTCTGCTGAGGGGGGATGAGAGGGGTTTTATATTTCTCAGAATCTGAATTCCCAGCACTTCTCTGGATCGCTACATCATTTCAGAGATCTTTGAAGATATTACAGATAGTAGTGAACATATCCTCTCCCACCTGGTCGTGCTTCCATTAAAGCAGAGCCCACAGTTCTATAATTACATTGATATCATCTCACATTCCACCTGTAAATGGACGAGTCACGTACAGCCAAACCATCTGCTAATACATAGAGGGCTGCTGTATCCTACGCCACAGACAGATAGGACAGAGATATCATCTTACAGCAGTTTACCTGAATGTAATGCAGCCAATCCTGCTGTTATTATCCAAGTTTAGTCTGATGCATTCCTGGGAAATATACATTTTTTTCTTTCTGTCGACACAACAAATGGTTGTGATACCACATGACATTTTTCTAAAAGTACAAGGTTTCACTGGAAATTAGTGAAAGTACATTTTGTGGTCCTCACAGCTGCCAGGAACAGCCCATATGCAGCAGCAAGTATATTGACCACCAACCCCTAGATCCATAATGGTGTGGTGTAGATATCACTCCATCTACCCAGCACACCAATGGGAATGTCAAAATGTCATTTAAGAACAACAACAGACCTCAGCATCAGCTTTCAAATCCATGATGGTGCAACAGATCTCATCTCCTCATCACATGGGATGCATTTTCTATCCCCATTTGCCTTATTCAACATCAACAGTTAACTTAACTAGGGACTGATACAATGTGAGTGAACTGCTTCAATGCATTTGCAAAATTCACTTATAATCAATGTGCAGATTATGCCATTAGAGCTAAATTAAAGCTTGAAAGGAGTATGAAACAATTCACCCGGGTTCGTGATTAACATATCATTATATTGAAATGGCTAATTGGATTTGATGACGATTGTGGAACTGATTTATGTACTGATTAATATTGGCAATTTGGAAGCACTTTTGCTATTAAGGTAAATGATGAGTCACTGTTGGAGAAGTTTTTCAATATGTTATATAAAATAAATATGCTGCATGTGTAAAATAATTTAAGACACCATTGTTTGACATTTTACCTTGACATTTTTCTTGATGATCTCCCGGCTCATCAGCACGCGCCCCTCGGATAAGTCGATCCCAGACAAGGGTACGAGGGTCTCTCCGATGACCTCATCACGGGAGAACCTGTCGAAGCTCAGCACCATGAAGTGGAGGGACAACTCCGACACTCGGGCCAGCGGGATCCCGTAGAAGCTGAAGGTCTCGTCAAAGGCGGGGTCCAGCGTCTTCCTCAGGACCCTGGTCTTCACACGGTGCTTCTTCTCCGGCAGCAGGGTCAGCTTGATGTAAGGGTCAGAGGTCAGGGACTGCTCATCAGTCGGGGTCAGGCCATGGGCTTCCTGCAGTAAAAAAGTCATCAATCAGTCAATGAAACTATATTGATCAGGAAATGATACACACAGCTAATCAGAAAGACACACAGTACCTTGATATGGACGATGAAGGCCTTTTTCTCCGGCTGGTATTCCAGGGAGAAGTGGAGGGTCCCCAGCCCAGCATCCCTCTCCTCTCCATGGGGCTTGTCTACAGCCGGGGTGGGTGCCTGGCTGGAGAGGGTGCTGGATGGTGAGGGGATGTCACGGTGGTCCGTCACCCCAGGTTGTGTGAATCCAGCAAGGGGAGAGGGCAGCTCCAGGTCCGGGGAGCTGCGCACCTTCTGGTGGTGGTGATGAAATGGTTTGGTGGTGAAATTTCCATTCAGATCCCGTTTCTCCAGATCCAGATGCAGTTCCGGTTTGGATTCGTTTGGACTTGAGGCCAGTTTACCGGTGGTGGTCGGATTCAATGTGGTGGCAGTGTGGCAGTTCCCGTTAACATCAGTTTTACTGGAGTCGTTACTCGAGGTGGTGGCAGCCGCAGCAAACTTCTTCTTACCGCTGAGGCTCTCCGGGTAGATGTCGACCCCTTTGAGCATGTGCACAAACTTATAGGGAGGTGTCTTCTGGGATTTGGTGTTTTTACGCTGGCAACAGATCCATGCAAAGGCTGACACAGTGAAGACAAGGCCGAAGACACTCACCACAGCAACACCTACTGGCACTGCCACTGTGGAGGAGGACAGAGAGAGCCGAGGGAGGGAAGGAGAAAACATTGTATTGGTTAGAAATGTCTATCCACACACTGTGAAGCAACTACATGTAAAACAACGGTTCACCTCAACAGATTTTATTGTTCAACTGGTTCCGTTTTGTGACTGACGCAGACTGCAGATTTGAGTCAGATGGAGATGAAAACAACGCAATCTGTTGGTGATTGTTCATATTCCATACATGGCTACAGTACATCAACAGGAAACATCTGGTGTATATCTACTAAGAAACCTAACGACATGTCAAATGGTTGAACAAAGAAAGTAACAAGACCTCGGCAACAGCACAAATAGAGAAAAGATTCTCAAATATCATTGTATCATTATTATGATAAGTCAGTCAATTTTGTTGACTGACTATGACACTTCAAAAGGAAGACATCTGGAACATTCTGTCCGATATAGAGAACAAATACAGGCTTATTACAGCAAATCTAATTTTTACATTATATTTGTTTTGGGCAAAGCATCATGGATCACATTTGCAAGTATTGTATAACAGCACAGACATTTGTAATAGGCCCTGTGCTATATTTATTTATATTTCTAATAGCAGCAGAGGATCATTTTATTTAACTCACGGCCACATCCCCTTCAACAGTAGTGCTACTTTAAGGTCAGAATTCATTTCAACTGTACTTTTGTCTGCTTTACTGAGTGTCACTAAGACGTTACTATGGAGACATTTTACTGGGATATTTGCCACTCAATGCTTCTGTCTTTTGTATGGTGGTGTTGAACTGTGACTCAACAGCAAGCATGCTGCCTTCTCATGCAGTCAGTTAATAGGTCAATTTCAATAGAGGAAAAGTGCAGCATTTCCTGCAGTCAAGAGGGCGGCCAGTGGAAAAGAACTCAGGTTAACACCCATTCAAAGAGACATAGAGAGAGGGTGGGGAAATCACACATGTACTTGTGACTTTTTTGAATGATATGCACTGTAGTTAACTCGCATTACATTAGATGTGTTGTTAATTCTGACACTGAAATTGTCATGCTAAAAAAAAAAAACGTGTTTTTGTACAGGAATTACAGGTAAACATTGACAGATCAGAACAGTTTCACTTCCTTGCAGCCATTTCTGATCATATAGACCGGTAAGTAATTCATGTCTGTTGTATTATTGAAAGGAAATGATGCCGATATTTAAAGGTAAAGGATCATGGTAGGTGCAGGCATAGCATCCATCTAGTGGATTACTAATCTAAAAAGGGAGGGATAGTCAGCTCATGTCAGTACACAGCATTTGTTTTCTCCCTGTCATTAATATTTCACCCCAACATCCTGGGTGGAGTTGTTTTCAGGGCAACAACAACAGACAGAAGGATGGAGCCACTGAGCAGCTGAACCGAGGGGACATAGACTGCCTGTAGTAACACCATTTTCTAATTTTAATATCATAAAACATGTCACCCACACCCTATGGGCTATTTCTCCTGATAATTAGCTGTCACCTTTTAAGCTAGCTGCAAAATGGAGGCTGTTCATAAACACGTAGTTTCATCGAGTTTGGCAACACACTGGATGAAACCACTAAACTAAAACTTGACAAAATGAAACATACTTTAAAATACGTTTATTGTTGTTGTTTTTTAAATAAAGAATGGAAAGAATATCAAAATATCGCGATAATAAGGCTAGTTATCTTTGAGTCACGCGGAATGAATAACTCGCGCTTTATGAAGATTCAGAAGCACGAGGCTACCATTAGCACCCTCACCAATCACACCTGCGTCATTTGAGGTTAATAAAGCGACTCACCGAGCTGAGCCCCTTCCTCCACCATTGGAGCCATGTTCGCTGTCCGAGGTGCTGAAGCTCTCCGTCCGCTTTCTTCTCTCCCGGTGACACCGTGCAGTATATCTCCACAAGGACTCGGCTTTGATTGTGTTTAAAAATGCAGGAGGTTTTGTACGGCGTCAATTATTTAAGAAACGGCAGTGGTTGTTTTTTTCCCAGAGAGAAGGATGGAGTGTTGTGTTCCTCGCCCTGCTGCTGCTGTTACTCAGAGATGCGCGAGTCTCAGAGGCGGCAACACCCAGTTTCTCTCCCTCTCTCTCTCCCTCCCTATCTCCCCCCTCCCCGACGATAACGCTGAGCTCACCGGCGCTGACGCAGTAGTGACGGAGGCTGTGAAAGCAGGACCCCCGGAGTAGCAGCACCACCATTTATGCCAATTCCCCTGATTGATTGTTAGGAAGTGAACGGTCCAAGTCTGTATCTCCTCCGTGTGTGTGTGTGTGTGTGTGTGTGTGTGTGTGTGTGTGTGTGTGTGTGTGTGTGTGTGTGTGTGTGTGTGTGTGTCTTACATCTATTGAAGTAAGTGTCATCTGATGTTTTTCCTCTGATGTAGATTGATAGTAATTACAGTAACAGGTTTACTATTACCACTTTAGTTAATAGTCTTCAGTGATATTAAAGTGACTCTTTTATATTGATTGTTGTGCTTTTATGTATGTCTTAATGTGTGCTGTTGATTGTGTATACAGTATAGGTATATACATATTTGTATACATATTTTTATATATTTGTAATTTTGTGTTCGGGATTGTGGGAAACATTATTTTGATTTCTGTCTGTACACACAAACTGAAAGATTGACAATAAAGTTGACTTTTGATTTCGACTTCAGTGTTTATGATTAACTATACTGTTTATAGTCAAATGTCTTATTTACTTTTTTGAAATGCTGATAAACAGTAATCAGACTCAAAGGTCAAAACCCTCTGCTGTGTGCAAACTGGATGTTAATCAGTATACACATATAACTCATAATATGATTTAAATTCAATGGGTCTAACTGTGATGTAAAAGGAAAACTTTGTGGATAGGCTGGTCCTCGGCCACCTTCGGCCCCTTGTGAGAGCATCGATGGACCCGCTGCGCCTACCAGCCTGACATCGGGGTGGATGACGCCGTCATCTACCTGCTGCAGAGGTCCCTCTCCCACCTGGAGGAGGCTGGGGACATCGTGAGGATCATGTTCTGGGATTTCTCCAGTGCCTTCAACACCATCCAGCCCCCAGCTGCAGCACTCTGGGAGGGATCACCTCCTGGATCCTGGACTACTCACCAACCGTCCACAGTACGAGAAGACCAGGGACTGCCATTCAGACACCATCATCATCAGTACTACTGGGACCCCCCAGGGGACGACAGGGAGTAGGGGGAACTGACGCAGGACTTCACCCTCTGGTGCCAGAGGAACCACCTCCAGCTCAACGCAGGGAAGACCAAGGAGCTGGTGGTGGACTTCAGACGGCGCCAACACAGATGACACCATACACAAGTCAAAGTGCTCTGCAGATGCCTTTTCACAGAAGTCATGCTGAGTTGTTACAGGGGGGAAACTAAGGTGTGAATATAACAGAAACATCCTTAGTGTATTCAATACCTGTGTTTTCAAACTGTGTCAAGTGAAAATGTGTGCTGTGAGAAAGGCCTCAAGTCTGATATAATCAAATACTGACCCCTGGTGTTCATAGCAAAGAATGCATTTCCCCTGAATACAACAAAGGCCAACACAGAGATGGTCACTCAACACATATTGACTCTAAAACACCATGCTTCTACATAAAGCATTGTTTTTATAATTATTTGCTCTCTTTGCCACATTTGTCCTAAGACCTAATCCAAACAAATTGTTCTACGGGGCCATTCAACCTGTCAAGTCAGAGTCATATGTGTCATATGTTCAATGTTGTTGAACAAAACAGTTCTTGTTTGTATGACCTCTTTGTGTATAGGTTTGTATCTACACTAATAGATGTTGGCCTTATCCTGAGAAGTGAAACCGTCACATTATTTCTGTGAAAGTGAAACCTAAAAGGGTGTGTCAGGTAGATAAATGAATAACATGCCTAACATGTCATTACATTGTCAATCATAACACACTCCTGCAGATATAGACGCCATGGGGGAGTGGCTAACAATTATTCTGTAACATCCTTTATATTCACTTGGTGTATTTTTTTATCTGAATTTATTTAGTTGTTTGCAAGACACAAATGAAAAGTCTTGACCTTTTGTCAACACATTTTTTTTCTGTCTGTCACTGTATCACATTTTTGATCAACTGTCGGCCAATCAGAATAAATCAGGAGAACAAAACAACTTCATTCAAGGCCTCTATTATTTCAGTCTTATGTTTGTACTTCAACAACAGCTACATCTACATATTTTGTACTGGTTTGTCTTTTACGAGTTGTGTTTTGTTTCTCTGAGTTACAATACCTTCACTAATGGATGTCGGTTTGCTCCTGTGAAATGGATCTGTCAAATACTATTTCATTGAAAGGCAAACTTCAGAGAGGCCTGATGTAGAAGTTCTACGTCAGGCCTCTCTGAAGTTTGCCTTTCAATGAAATAGTATTTGTTTGTATTTGTTTGTCTTCATTCCTTAGTATCTCTACGGTAGAGATACTAAGGAATGAAGACAAACAAAACAAATGACTTATAGCTAACATTCATTACTGACACAGTTGAAGTGAACACGGTGCGAGGTCACAGGAGGGAATATAAAACATTTTTGGTGAGGCACATTTATTTTCCTTCATTCATCATCGCTGCAGCAGCTCTGCTTTCAGGTCAGTTTAAACATGTTTACGCACTATAATAACAATTTTACCTTAAAATGACAAAAAATACAATTATAAAATATTTTTAATTTCCCATTGACCCTTTATTATTTGTAGTGACAGCAGCGATGGAAGCAGCAGTTTCGTCCAGAAGCAGAGCGGGGGCGCTGTTCTTCCTCTTCACTCTGCTGTGTCTGGTTTGCATCATGACTTCACTGATAGATGACAACACACTGGTAAATAAATATTTCACATTTTATTTGAGTTGTTCTTAAGAAGGATCTTAATTTATTTGAATCTGCAGTCTTTTGCGCTAATGTGTGGCTATATTACAGCTGCTGTCAAGCTAATACAATCTGTTTCCGTATGTAACTGCATGTTGATGCTTATTCTAATGGATTTCAAGGAGAAGTGCAAGAGAGAGGTAGAGGAACAAAAACTGGAGAAAAGGAAGGCGAGTCAGTTTCTATATTGCTCACATACATTCTTAATACACTGACTGGAGGAGAGAAAGTGATTTAATGCACTACAGTGGAAACATAGCTAATAGAGTCAGTGCCATGTCATGAAATGTTTGGTTTCTTTCCCATATTAGGCAAGATGGGTCGCCATTACAGAGAATACAAAAGTGCCCAGCTCTTTCTCGTTCCTGATAGGATTGGTGGAGGTATTTCTGCCGATCGTTGATGTCTTCAAGACACTTAAGGTTATCAAACAAAATCAAATGTGGGCATTAGATCCAGAAATTCAGAAAATTGAACAGGATCTGAGAGAAATGAAGAAATTAGTCAAAGCCCTGGAGGTGTACGAAGATGCTAGGCAACATTAGGAGATACATGAAGACTTTTAGAATTTTGAACATAATCTGATAGAAGAGGAGAATATAGAGAGAGCCCTGGAGGAGTACCAAACTGAGCTGTAACGTAATGTCAATCAGTGCCTCCATCCGATACTTCATCTATTGTGTTGGCTAAGTTTCTCTTTGAGATTATGCAGCTTTATCTTAGGTTGTTATTCACTGGTTTGAAATCATGAATTTATTTCAACTGTTAGATTTCCAACGGAAAAGGAATTTTTGTTGACATACATGCAACTGTAAATGAATACATTAATACAAATGTGCTATATTCAATGTTGTTGCACATAATAATACAAATGTTTTGTATTAATGGTATAATATTTGTAATTACTGACCCCTGATGTTCACAGTAATTACACAAGAAAACTAAAAGGATGTGTAAGATATGCATAAAATTGCATGCAATCACATTCAAATAAAATTATAAAAAAACATATTCAAGAAAGACGTATTCACAGCTTTGCCATCAACCTTCATTCTCAATTTCAGTGCTGTCTGAGGAGCGTTTGTGGGGATTGGCAGGGCTTTTAAAACTAAATTAGGAAGGTATTTGTGAGGGAGACACGCAAGATGACACATCATTAACTTACTTTCATTTCATGGTGGATAACCCAACTATGTTTCCTCTAGTCTGTATTTCTGACCCATGATTATTTTTCCAGGTTAAAATGGCGTCATGGAAACATTGGATTTTTAAATATATAGGAAGTTAACAACTGGAATCATTTCAATATGAAAAGGTGTGCAATGTGCTGCTTAGCAAACTCTTAACATATCAGGTCCAGACTGATGATACAGATGTTTTTATTTCAATTATTTTATCCCACTTTATGCTTTGCTCTTGCTGCTTGTTTTACACTGATTTGATGTCTTATTTCTTACTGATGTAAAGCACTTTGAACTGCAATCCCCTGTATGAAAGGTGCTATACAAATAAAGTTATTATTATGATACAGATGTTTTCTGTAGCATTAAATATATTTGTTTAACCTTAACCAAGACTTTCTGCACGCATCTCTCTCAAATAGATTTAGAAAAAATACTGGAATGCCTTTTAAACAACAAAGTATTGAAGGTAAAATGAAGTGGAAGAAAAAGGAAGATATAATAATACAAATAATATTACATTTTATTTATAAAGGCACCTTTCAAGGCTCTCAAGGTCGCCGTACAAGGTACACAAAAAAAACAAAAGTCCTAAAAACCCGATGTGATGTGATCAGTGATATGCTCAACAATGTTATCAGAGTTTACATTGTAAATGTTTTTGATTGTAGTTTTTTAAAAGCATTGAGGCAAGATCAATCCAGACATTACTTTAACGTCCACGTTTGCTTCTTGAACATTTATTATTTTCTTAGTGAACATTCAAAGCACTTCACAACACAAGAAGCCATATACTGTTTCACACACATGCACACACCTGTGGCAGAGGCAACCACACAAGGTGCAACCTGCTCATCAGGAAGAAAACTTCAACATGTCTTGATGTATTATTCCTGTGGAAGTAAAACTAAAACAGAGTGTCCTGTAGGAACAAAGGACTTTCTGGCCTGCATGTAATCACAAGTATAAAGCTGGTGTGTTCCTGTAAAGAGAACCTCCATAAT